GTAGAAATCAATATAATAAGTCCCCAGAGTTATCATAAATAATTTTTCTGTTGTTCTCCAATACCAAATATACAGTATTAATATAAAAAAGCTAGCTCTAAGGCTCCTTGCCAACTAACCAACTCCATACCTCCATCCCATTGCCAGCAATTATGCACCTCTGTATCCAATTATTTCAATGTTCTTTCAGTTCATAACAAATGATAGCTAAAACTGAAAATGTGTCAAATTACCATCACAGCAGTTAATCTTAAGGCTTCCAAAACTGGAGCTCTACATCTCCAATTCAGTCTCATTTTTGCTTTACAATTTCTCTTTTCATTTCCTTCTAGCTACATATCTTACTTATACATAGACACAATCATAAAATAGAGTCAGGGCAATTGAGATCAAAACCCTCACACTGAACCAGATCCTATAGAGTCCTCTATATATTGCAGTTTGCAGATGGTTCTGGAAAAGAATAAAAAAAAGAGTATTCCAAAAAGTCAATACATTTTTAAAGCTCCAATTTTCTAATTACAGAAAGACCAAAATTCATTACAGTCTACTGAACACATTCCTATCAAAATTATGATCTATAGTCAACTTCAATTCCTATGGTGTCATTGAAAACTTACTAATTATAGCCTGGCTGGGTGTGGCTCAGTGGCTGGGTGTCAACCTATGATCCTGGAGACTGTGGGTCAGGGCACATGCCCAGGTTGCAGGCTCGGTCCCTCAGAGGCATGCAGGAGGCAGCCAATCAATGATGGCTCTCTCATCATTGATGTTTCAACTCTCTCTCTCCCGCTCCCTTCCTCTCTCTGAAATCAGCAAAAATATATTTTTTTAAAAATGTGGCCCAAAAGGTATTTACATGAAGACAGGTAAATTTTTTTTTTTTTAAAAGCACAGCTTACTAATTATATACCAATTTCACATACGTCATAGTCAAAGTATTCCAAAACTGTCAGCTTCCCCGCTACCAATACCAGTTCCAAAATTTCCCTAATACCTAAACAAAATTAATAAGTTCAGTTTCCTTAGCATATCATCTAACTAATAATATTTTAACAATAATGGCTCTAGTTATATTCTAGTTTTAAACTAACCACATAGATTCCAATATTCTATTATACCCCTCATTGCACTCCTTGCTTAAGCAAAAACAAAAACAAAAAACAACAACAACAACAAAAACCTATCCACCATTTCCTAAAACTTTCTTGCTTTAGGTCTTGCTCATTCATTCAGCCTCCATCTCCTCTCCTTAACTCTGTGTCTCAAATTCTACCATTTCCTTTGCAGAGCTCTTAATTGGAGGTTGCTCATTTCCTTTATTCACCTCTCCATATATCAAAATCAAGTTAGCATCTTCTTCACTGGATCCTCAAAGTATTATTTTACCACCTTCCCTCAACAGCCTGTCTTTCTTCAAACTTCATACTACTTGATTTTATCACCTTCTCAATGTTAAATATCAACTTCTAGGTTTTTCCCCTACAGTCACTGAAGACTTTGGGAACACTAAACCTTTCCCTCTTTCATCTGAAAGCCTTCATCATCCCCCTTGATGATCTAAGACCCAAATCTCACAGCTCCTTGACAAATCTTAATCTGATGTCATCTCAATTCCATTTCAATTGTCTATTTCTGTAGTGATAACTGTAATGGCTCTACCTCCAAAACCAAACACAGAATCCACTCTCTGAACTACTAGTTTTTCCACCTCTCCTATACTTTACACTCCTTGAATTTACCCTCCAACTTCCTTAGGCCTTTAATTTATCAAGCCTCTTACCTATTTTCCAAGGGCACCATGTTTCTGTGGACTTCACTTCCTTCTCTACCTAGGAAACATTCCATGGACAGTGGGACTTCAATGATAGTATCCAGCACTTTTAATTTTCCTATCCCCTCGATTTTCTACCATACCTATTCCACTAATCCCCACCTACAAATCAGCCTGACTATTGATATTTTTCCATTCCTGTTCATAAATTACAAAGTATTACTGAGTAAAACCCTATACTACTGACCACCAATTTCCCCTGTACCCAACTGATCTTCCACTGCTACCAGAATGATCTTCTTTTTTAAAAAAATATATCTTTATTGATCTCAGAGAGAGGAAAGGAGAGGGAGACAGATAGAAACATCAATGATGAGAGAGTCATTGATCGAGCCTGCAACTGGGCATGTGCCCTGACCAGGAATCGAACCCTGATCGCCTGGATCCTAGGTCAATGCTCAACCGCTGAGCCACGCCCGGCTGGGCCAGAATGATCTTTTAAAACAAAAATTAAGCAGGGCTTCAGGAATAGCAGAGTGAGGGGATCAGAAAATCCTCTCCCCCCCAAAACAATGATATAACTGTACAACTCTGTCAAAAACAACCATTTCAGGACCATGGAAATAGAACAAAATTAAACAATAAATTAAGAAGTGTTTAAGAGCCTGGCTGGGCATGGCTCAGTGGTTGAGCATTGACCTAGGATCCAGGAGATCACAGTTCAATTCCTGGTCAGGGCACATGCCTGGGTTGCGGGCTCAATCCCCAGTCAGGAGCACACAGGAGGCAGCCGATCAATGACGACTCATCATTGATGTTTCTCTCTCTCTCTCCCTCTCCTTCTGAAATCAATAAAGATATACTTTTTAAAAAATAATAAAAAGTAAATAAATAAGAAAAAAAAAGATGTGTTTAAGAAAACCTACTGAACCTTGAGTAAGAACAGTGGGAATCTATGGTGTTTTAGCTTGAGGCTATTCACGTCCCCACTCCCAGCTCCACTAGAGCTGATTTTACAAGGGCAGAGAAGGACAAAGCCTTAAAAATCAACAACTTGGCTGCTGGACTGGAATTACTTGTTTAGGAATGAGCACGAAAAGTCCTATGCCCAGGGGTGTTGAAAACAATAGCAAACTACTTAGATCAGGGAAAACCAACATCACAGTTACCTGAGGTCACAGTAATGGTGGGAGCAAGCAACAGAACAGCAGGCCTATTTAGCAGAGAGATTCGTAAACAAGACAGCCCTAATGGGACTTGATAAGCTCCCTCCATATCTTTGGTGATCTAGAAGGCTATGCATACATGCAATGCTGCACTCAAGCTCAGGGTACTGGAAAGGGCCCTAGCCATCTACATTTCCCTGGCTGAACTTAAAGACCTACACAGATACAGAGGGGACATGAGAAGCCTTAGCAAAAAGTAAAAATTAGGGGAGACTTGTAAACTCCCTGAACTTTGAATATGCTTCTCAACAAACACACACACACACACACACACACACACACACACACACACACACACAATTCCATCAACAAAGGTTGGAAGATAATACTGGCCCAAGGTGTTTAAGGACAATCTCTAACAAATGACTGTTCACTAAGCTATTCTGACCCAGGTATGATACCGAGGAAGCCAGGCTTAGAAATAAAAAGAATTTTTAATAAACAGAGCATAAACATCAATGGGCTACACATTGAAAAGGAGACAGAATCTACAGAATTAGTCCAGACAAGTCACTAAACAAATTTTAAAAAGAAACAAAACCACAAAATCTCTGGGGGTGGAGGGGTGGGGATCAGAACCTGAACTTAAGCTTTTGAGGAACTACTGACTTCCAAAGTGGCTACACCCACAGGATGGCTATGATTTTTTTTAAAAAAAGATGGACAGTAAACAAGTGTTGGCAAGAATGTGGAGAAAACTGGAACCCTCATCCACTGCTGGTGGGAGTGCAAAATGGTGTGGTTGCTTTGGAAGACAGCATGAGTTTCCCAAAATGTTAAACACAGAATTAACTACCATATTGCTTTAAACTAAAAAGGGGTTCCACAATAAACCTAACCAAAAGTAACCTCAGGATGACCTGATCATAAATTCCTGACTGGGCAGGTCATGGTGAGTAGTCACGCCCCAGGCATATAAAAGTTTCATCTTCAACTTAAGGAAGCCCTATCCATTGTTTTTGTGCACTAGGTTAACACACCTTTGAAATGCCTCTTTTTCAGACCCCTTGGAAGCATAATCACCCTCAAAAGAACACATAATCTTGTTAACTGTCTTGTAATCGGATAAGAGATTTCACTGCCTTAATTTCTCCCATGTTCATGGAATCTTTCTTAAGGTCTCTCCTTAATTCCGAAGGTATAAAAGGAACTGAAAAACTGTTATTCTTTGGAACATTTAAGATCTTGCTTCCTGGCATGTCATCAGTTTAACTCAAACTCATAAAAATTCTCTACAAGTTTGGACATTTCTTACATTGACAGTGCCCAAAAAGTAGAAACCACCCAAAATGTCCATCTGCTGATGAATGGATAAACAAAATATGGTATATTCATACAATGGAATACTACTTAGACATAAAAAGGAAGAAACCAGCCCTGGCTCAATTGGTTGGGCGTCATCCTGTGCATGGAAAGTTTACCGGTTTGATTCCCGGTCAGGGCACATGCCCAGGTTGCAGGCTCAGTCCCCAGTAGTGACATGTAGAAGGCAGCCAACTAATTTCTCACTCTCACATCAATGTTTCTCTCTCTTCCTCTCTCTCTAAAAATAAATTTTTAAAATCTTTTTTAAAAAAGGAATGAACTAAGTGCTGACAAATTCTATAACATGGATGAACCTTGAAAACACTATGCTAAGTGAAAGAAACCAGACCAAAAGGCCACATACTGTATTATTCCACGTATATGCATGTCCAGAGTGTGCAAATCCATAGAGAAAGAAAGTAGATTATTGGCTGCTTGGGGCTGGGGGGAGGGTGGAAATGAGGAGTGATTGCTAACCAGTACAGAGTTTCTTTTTGGTGTGATGAAAATATTCTGGCCTTGGTCTGTGTGGCTCAGTTGGTTGGAGCATCATCCTGTACACCAAAAGGTGGTGGGTAGTAAGGAGATGTGCCCAGCAGAATGGAGTGTGGGGGCCAGGACCCCAGGATGGGGCAGAGTATCCTCAGTGGTTTCCTGGGACCTGGCGGCAGGGCAGAGGGACTGGCTGCTAGGTACCCAGGAGCCCCTGAGCCAGACTGATACCATACCTCTGATGAAATCATGACTAGGTGGGCATGAATTACTACCACATATAACAAAAGACCCTTGCCCGCAACCTCATGGGAGGATATGAAGATGGGGTCCTTTGAGGAAAAAAGTCAAAACCTCAAGAGTGAACAACTTGAAGTCAATAGGCTGTCCCTTAGGAATGATGCACCCCAAGCAAAACACAAAAAGAACAAAAAGAAAAAGAAGTACTTAAATGAATATGTGAATGGATTCATGGACTCCCTAAAACAAAATTCACAGATGGTTCACAATGGGGAGATAATAGCAATAGACAGTCAGGAAGGAAGGGAAGAAATTGCAGTTGCTTTAAAGAAAGATAGTCTCAGGGAAGGAAGACGATTAAAAAGACAAGCAGCAGCCCTAGCTTGTTTTGTTCAGTGTTAAAGCATCAGCCTGAGGACTGAAGGGTCCTGGGTTCAATTCCGACCAAGGGGATCAGATGAAGACTTGATCCCTGGCCCAGATGGGGCATGTGCAGGAGGCAACCAATTGATGTGTCTTTCCCACATCATGTTTCTCTTTATCTCTCTCTCTCTCTTTCTCTCTGTCTCTCCCCCTCCCTTCCACTCTTTCTGAAAAAAACAATGGAAAAAATATCCTCGGGTGAGGATTAAAAAAAAAAAAATGACAAGCAGCAAAGAAAAATGCAATGGGCGTGGCCGGCATGGCTCAGCAATTGAGCATCCACCTATGATCATCATTGATGTTTCTCTCTCTCTCTCTATCTCCCTTCCTCTCTCTGAAATCAATAAAGATAGATATATATTTTTTTTTTACTGCAATGGTATGTTTTCATTGTAGAAAACATGGCCATGGGATTGCTGATTGCCCAGCTGCCCTTGAGAATCAAGATATGGACACTAGAATATGTTATCCATGTGGATCTACAGAGCAGGAAATAACCAAGTGCAAGGCTAAAGTAGACCCAGCTCTAGGTGAATTTCCTTTTGCAAAATGTTTTGTTTGTAGGGAAATGAGGCACCTGTCCAGATCTTGCCCTGATAATCCCACAGGAGTCTATGCTGATGGAAGTTGCTCCACACTTTGTGGCTCTGTGAGACATTTTTTTTTTAGTCCCATCAAGGATATTCTTTTTTTTTTTTTTTTTTTTTTTTTTTTTTTTT